CGGGGCGCGGTGCAGGCTGCGGGATGCTGCGGGCAGCGGTGCCCGCTTCTCTCAGCCGGGGGCTCCCTGCGGGTGAACCCCCGTTGTGCAAGGGCTGGTTGGATGCTGGAGGAGGCTGCAGGATCTGCCCGCAGGTTTTGACCAGCAGCGCGGGAAGCAAAAATAAATGTGCTATTAAAAACCAAAACACCTGGCAAATACGTCTTACGTTACCAAATAATATTCCCTGCAATTACTGAAGGGCTACAACCCTCCTCATTACTGGTAATGACTAGGAGGGCTGCCCGGCTGCTGTAACTCTTGCCATATCTGCAGCGGATGTTATTTGATAACATAAAACTGGGGTTACCAGTAGGTGGCCCGGTGGTTTAACACATGCGGCTGTTACCGCTTTGAGTACCATTCTGCTCAGCCTGCTCGGTCCTCTAGATAGCCACTGCACGAGCTGCGCGATTTCACGCTCTCTTCTGTCGGTGATAACAGCTCCGGTGCTGAAATAACAGCACAACTGTTAAAATGGGGTCAGCTGAAGGACTGCTTAGGGTAATCTGTGTTTTATCTGGCTTTTCTCAGTATTGCCAGTTTTTGCCTATCTCAAGAGAATGAGTTACTTTAAAAAAATGTAAGATAAGGGGTAAATTATTTAACTGAATGCGCTGGAGTGAAGAAAAAACATTGTATGCCATAGGGTCTGTGCGTATTTGTCAAAATGCTCATTTGTTATTCATTTTAACTGTTAATTTATTTGAAAAGTGTTTAATGCCTGTACTTACTTGATAGTCAGTAGCTAGAAGTATAGGAATTTAAAGCTGTGTTGTATCCGCATTGTTGATTTTTACGTCGTATGACGTGAAGCAGTGAGAGCACGGTTCTGAAAGTACTCCAGTACATCTGTGTTTATCAACATAGTTGTGTCACCTTCGGTGCACTAGTTCGTTACGTATTTGCTCTCCTGTGTGTAGGAGCTTTGTGTGTCACTCTTCTTGTTAAGAAAGCTCTTTATAATTTTCTTTTCCTGTTTAGGATGGGGAAGTCAGAGTTCGAAAGTACATATACATCATAGCACATGGCTTCATTTTCCCGGCCACAACTTACGCTGGATACTGACTTTTATCCTCTTGTTTGTGCTGGTGTGTGAAATTGCAGAGGGCATAGTTTCTGATGGGTAAGTGTGAGCCTACCTTCTCCTGATAGCACCTGGGCATTTTAAAGGTTTCAGGGTAGGTATTTTCTCCCTGTCTAAATTCTCATCTAAGCCATATTCCTTGTGGTTATAATCTATGTTCTTGGTGATTAACCTACCAACCTCGTATCAGAAATTCCACAGACCTTGCCAAGTTATGTACACACACACAATTGACCTTAATCATGTTTAGTTCAGCTTAATGACACTGTCTTTCCAAAGAGCAATCATAGATAAATTCTAACAATTCAAGCAGATGGTGACATTTTTGTGTTATGTTTTATGTCCAAGGACCCAGTCCCACAGCCTTTACTCAGGCAGAACTCCCATGTGTACAGCAGGTCATACAATTCCCCTGCAAAATTAGTCCTGTTCATCTTAATAAAAGGAATGGATCTACAGGGCTTTATCTCACACCCCACAGAGTTTCTTCTGATGTTTGTACAGAACATCTGATTTGTCACCTCACAGAGCAGCTCGCATTATATGAGCATGATACTTCATCTATTATTCGACTTAGAATGTCTTTAAACAATAATCTGTGGGGAAAATTCTAAGTGAAACAAGTGATACAGGAGAGTGATTTATCAGGAAAAAAAGCTAATGTGGTATAACAATGACTGTAATTATCTTTGTCTGAAGAAAGGTCTGATTTTCATAACTATTATGAATTTGCAACCCAAGGATTATGAAGTGGAAGCTCCTCATTAAATAGAACAAAACCTCTCTCTTTAGCCATCTATATAACAACTATCCACCAACCGGTGTGAAAGGCACTGCAGCATTCTGCTGTAGCAGCTGATATCATCATCATTATTATTATAACTTCTCTTAAACCTACATAAATAGGATGTTTCTCAGTGCCAGCTTTTTTAAAAATGAATTTTTCTCATGCTTTTTCAGAGGTATCAGGGTGTGGGATGCTCAGAGCAAAATCTCTTGCTTTGAGTTTTCTGTTTTATTTTGCCCTTTAGCAATCCCTCTTACTATGTTTATTTGCTGTTTAACTTGACTCAGAATGCTGCTCTTAAGTAATAAGTGTCACCTGATGAGAATTAAAGCTCCTAGCTATACTGGGGGAGTGCCAACGCACAGTCATGCCTCCCAAGCACTCAGCAGGCTAGCAAGCACTCTAGTGAATAAAAGCAGATTTTGAGATTCACCATCTTTCTAAGACCAAATTGGAGCATGCTGGTAAGTCCTTTTGGCAGCAATTTGGTGCCAAAGGCTTTGGCACCTCAGCAGTAGATGCAGCTTAATGGAGATATGGTTATATAGGGGAATTCCAGCAACTTCTCTCTGTGAAATATTTAAAAAGAACCTCCCACTCCTGCAGCGTTACCTACTGAAGCTTAGGCTGGCTGAAGAAATCTGTTCCTCTTCCTTGTTTTTCCTTGCTGAGAATTCAGTCCTGATGTACAAAAACCCATGGCATTACTAGGAAATCAGAGACTGGAGAATCTTTTCTCATTTTGCTGTATACACATACAACTCATTGTCAACAGGAGTTGTTTATGCCACAGGTGGACAGCATGGCTCCAGCCAGCTCTGCAGAGTTTTCCACAATATCCATTTGAAGAAGGGCTTTCCTTGCCCAGTACGGGTGTAGGAAGTGGTCCTCCTGAGCTCCTATGGGTGTGTTGGACATTTGGGATGTTCTGCTCTCAGGCACGTGACATCCTGTGATGACCTCCAGCTCCCTGATAGCACAGCCCCTTTTGTCTCTTCAGATGACACAAAGGTAGCTTTTGCTGCAGCAAGGACAAATCTAGAGATGCTAATGTATTTTTCATGAGGTTCAGAGGACAAGGTGTGAATTTCTGAGTGTTCGTGTCCCAAAGACTTCCTCTTGGTGCCTCTGCGGGAGTTGGTTGGGAGGCAGATGAAATTGGACCTCTTGAGAGCACAGGACACTCCATTACCTTTGTGAAAGAAAGGGAAGGGGAGAAGGAGAAGATGGCAAGTAGGAGGAGGGAGGTGGGAAAACATGATTCTACCCACCTCTGCATAAACTAACAACATTGCCCAGCAATTCCCATATTCCCAAAGGGCTGTAGTTGGCTGGACCCCCTCTGCTGCTACCTGAAGCAAAGTGTCAGGAGAGTTTTGCTTTATAGGGCAAAATGTAAGGGTATGTGACTCTCTTGTAGGTTTTGTTTGTTGGCTTGCAGTTGCTGAAAACAGAGCTCACTAACTCCCATGCTGTGGTGCTGTTCCTTCTCCCAAACTGGAAACAGAAGATGAAACATTTCCACAAAAGGTTTCTGTAGGAAATCTTAAACTGCGCTGTCAGTTGGTCTTATCTACATATTTTGATGGGCAGCTCCCAGACTAGTTTAGCTTAAATTAACTCTTCTCATTTTGGAGCTGAGCTGTTCATCCTAATTTAAACAATGTTCCAATTGATTTCAGGAGGAAATAGGAGCACACGCATTTCATTTTCAGCATAGGGGAGGAATCTGAAATCTGAATATGAGATAGAGGAGCATAAATGCAGTTGAAAAGCTGAGAGCTTTACATCCATAACTCATTCTAGAAAATCCTACATCAGGGCTGGGTACAGGACACAACCCATAAATTAAAAGGGAAACATTTAATTAGCTGAGAGGATGTGATTTTAATAGATGTTAACTTTTTTTCCTTTTAAGGGTTTCAGAATCGCGCCATTTACACCTGTACATGCCGGCTGGGATGGCATTCTTGGCGGCCATCACATCGGTTGTCTATTACCATAATATCGAAACATCCAATTTCCCGAAGTTGTTAATAGGTACGTCTCTCAACTCACCAGACCTGGCAATGTGATTGTCGTGCTGTGTGTCTGTTCGTTCTGTGACAGGTCATTGTGGTCTCGGTTCTAGCTTGTTTGGGTAAGGCTACACCTATAATCTGGCCTGCTGGTAGCCACTGTCAGACTCAGTTCTGAGTTTGCCTGGAACAGGGTATTGTTATCAACGCTGTTTTCAACTCCTAATAGCATTCTCTATGGTGTTCTCGAGGATCCAGTGGGCCAAGAGGTTCTCTAGAAAAAATTAGGTTTCTGGGAAGAGTAACACATCAAACTCCTAACTCTGAAAGTGATCCAAATGCCCCTGCTCATCGCCATGGTGCATTGAAGCCTGTTGCAAGATTGCAGCCATCTTTGTGTGTGTGGTCTGTTGAAATATGCGAGGAGTCAAGGGAATTTAATAACATCACTGACTGTCAGTATGGCCATGGACGTATTGCTTTGCCTGCTTGTCCTTGCTTCGTATTCCTAAGACTCCCTTTGTAAACTTCTTTGGAAACTTCTTTTGTTTCCAAACTTCCCTTTGTAAACTTCTTTTGGATGTGGCTTTGAGCAACCTGGTCTAGTGCAAGGTGTCCCTGCCCATGGCAGGGGGGTTGGAACTAGATGATCTTCAAGGTCCCTTCCAACCCTAACTATTCTATGATTCTATGATTCTTTAAGACCTTTTACATGGAAAATGCTATGTATAAGAAATACCTGGTACACCATATGTTTTCCTCAAGATTGTAAATAAGCTGTAGCTAGTTATAGAGAATCAATTACTGCTGACAATCATGCAGTCGGTGGCATGTTCTCTACTGTTCAAGTAGATTGCAGACTGTGGTTGTCTACGTGTTTAGTCATCCTGTTAGCTGGTATTTCTTTGGTGGTCCTGTCTCATCAAATTCTGTTTGAGCTGGTTTTCTGTATTAATATATCCTGCTAGAGTTTGTCTTGTGTCATTGTAGCACTGTGTATCAAAGTTCTGTTCCAGCTTTTCTCAGGTGGTAAATCCTAACAGCTGGATTTGAGAAAGCTTTTAAGTATTAAAGGTTATTTTGAACAGCATGTTGTGGTAAGCAAGTATCCTCTTCTGCAGAAGGAGCTTGTAACCCCTCTTTAAAAAAAAAAAAAAAAGTCATTACTCTTCAAAAACTTCAGATTTCTCCAGCCTTGGCAACCTTTATGACTTCTTATTTGGACTGCTTTTCTTCTTTCTCTTAAGTACTATCTTTTTTTGTCTTTTATGACCAAGTAGGGTCATTTACTTTTTTAATAAGTCAACACAGTCTGTTAAATGCCTTCTCACAGGACTAGATGTTATGTCTCAGGAAAGTATTGCTAACCTGTTAACATCACCTGTGGAAAGCAAGCAATGATTTTCTTGGGTGGGTGGTTGTTGTTGTTGTTATTTCAGATATATAATGCAGCATTTAATGGTCTTGTGTTGTTACCACATTGCTGCTGTTAAATCACTGAGAAGGGTAGCACAAATTTACAGCTGGTAGTTGATTACCCGTATTTGCATAATCCCTTCTGTGCAGAGATTTTTCTGTTATGATAAATTTGTTCAGTATTTAGCATGCTGATGCTGGATAAGCTCTGGACAATATTTGAATAATAAACAGTTATACCAGTGAATACCAACACTTAAATAAGTGGTAAAGCAATCAAGAAAATGAAAGCACGTCTCTGGTCTGATCACTAGGCAGTTCAGGCCAGTGGAAGTTCTTGGTCATAATTTCTAGAAACTCTCAGCCAGTATGCCCTCACCAGCCAGATGATACAAACACAGCTTAAAAGAGCGAGCCATAACTATATTTTCCAAGGAGCCTTATCTCGAGGGGCTTGTGAACATCCACCAGATTAGATTATATACACTTGTATTCAAATGTGAGAAGCTAAATAAGTTCAAATGCTTCTAGGAGGTATGACAGTGGGAGGTCAGTTATCACCTGAGAATGTTGCGTTTGGCACTTTCTACTACTACTTAGGCAAAGATAATTGAATGTTCTAATAAAATAAAACAGTCATTTAAAAGAGGTGGTATTGACTCCTACTTAAATCCTAAATAGGAGAATGGCTCTGCTGGTTCTTATTTCTTCTTCCAAGAGCTCTGCATAGATACCAGTTGGGTTGGTTGGTTTTTTCAGGTGTCTGCGGGTGCAGATTATCAGTGTGCAATGTTTGTGTAGGTCCTATTTGCTCTGAGAAGGATGTGTTCTCAGCCTATTTTAAGAGGAATCAGGCAAAACACAAAGATTAACAGATAAAGGTGGTTAGGAGTAGAACAACGTGAAATTAATGCTTGGATTGAGATTTTAGTCAGGCATATTGCAAATAAGAAAGAATAGTGCCTCAAAGGTAGGTAACAGTATGAAGCAGGATGAGGAGATTAGATTTGATGCAGTATAATTTGGGAAGATGGTAGGAAGCTTCACATAAGAAGACTGTAGTTTTAGGAGAGGAATTCTGTGAGTATGTCTCTCAAATCCTCTCTGCAACTGTCTCAGCCACTAAAATACAGTGCTGAAATACCTGACCTCTTGGTGCTTTTTTCTTACGAACTGGCCTATTAATTTCAGAGCAAGACAGACTCTCTTGGCAAATGTCCTAATGCCCAATGCTCCTGTACTGTCCTCGTTTAAAGGAGAGTTTTGAAATTGCTTTCCGTAGAAGCAGGATGGGCAGCCCCCCTCTGGTGTTGCAGCAAGACACTCAGAAAACCTCTCCATGTTTCCTTGGCAGTTAGAGTGCATTCCAGCTGTTGCACCATGGAAGATACAGAGGCAATAAAAGATTCTTGTGAATGAACATAACCCTAGAAGGTTAAGAATGGGGAACGGGAGCTGGTTTATGGTATGGTGAATGATATGGAGCGTGTTTTCAAATCACCAGAGCTTACGGCAGGGATTATTTATCTATAACTGACACTAGCACTTTTAGACTGGAAGTTCGGTTGAGCTCTAAAAAGTTAAAGTTGTGTCCTACAAATGTCAGAACATCCTTCCTTGAAGAGCCTGTGTACCTGCATTATAAATGATATATATGGAATTTGTGTTTTGCTGTATGGAATAGAACAGCAGCAGTTTGGAGAAAATATTTTAATATGTTCCTGCATACATCCCAGAGATCTGTGGGGATGTTTGAGACTGATTTTCCTTCAAGACAAATTAATTGCAGTCTTGTAGCATTCACCAAATTTGAAGAGCATCAATCACAGCCACTTTCACTTGTGAGGCAGCTCCCTCTCCTGAACTCATCTTGTGGATGCATGTTTATAACAGATGGAAATTTCCTTCAGCAGACTGCACTTTGTGGAATTTTCCAAATATTACTACATCTAATAGGAAAGGAATTTGGAACTAATGTTATCTTAATATTTTTATTTTTGTGGAATTGAATTAAGCTTCTCTTTTGACATGAGAAACGCCACTCTCTAGTTTTATATATTCTTGCTGCATTCCTTCTGAATGAACATTTAACACTGCTGTTGTGTATTTTTGCAGCTGTAGAGCTGATTAACTTTTCTTTGTTGTCCCCACAGCATTACTCTTCTACTGGACTTTAGCTTTCATAACTAAAACGATCAAGTTTGTAAAGTTCTGCGATAATGGGGTTGGATTTTCTCAGCTTCGGTTTTGCCTCACAGGACTCCTGGTTGTTCTATATGGAATGCTACTAGCTGTAGAAATCAATGTCATCAGGGTGAGGGTAAGTTAGTATGAAAAGCCTCCTTCTGTGTTTTGGTGTTTCTTTTGGTTGGTTGATTGGTTTTTATTTATTCCTCTTTCTGGGTACTTTCTCTGAAATGTACTTCTAAAGGAGAGAGAAAAATCCACTTAATATTAGAAATGTATTTGAGAGTCAAAGGTTAACCCAACTTTATTAGGCCAGAAGAATCTATACTTTTTAAAAAATGGCAGACTCCATACACAACTTTATTAGGCCAGATGAATCCATAATTTAAAAAAAATGGCAGACTCCATTGTAGTTAAATTAGGATGAATTTCATCTGTTCAATTTTGTTTTAAAAATGTCTACTATGATTCAGAGTTTCAAATATCAAAACAAGTATTTCGGATGCAAGGATGGACTGGGCAAAAGGAATTGTCTGCTCTATCAGAGAATATCTTAGACACACAACTAAAAACTCTCATTTTCCAGGAGACAATCACAACAAGTTATTTATTGGGAAACTGCGGTTGCTACCTAGTCTCCCAGCTATATTTTTTTTTCTCCCTCTGTGGTGTCTGCAATCATAATCCAAACTGGGAGATGGCTTTGGAGACTGCTATCCATACTGCTAGGCAAATAAATGCTAAAGTTCTTCCCTTCACCTATTCCTCATTTAACTGTGTACACAAACTTAGTCTCAGGAAGGAACGAAACTTTTCCATGTGAATTATCTGGCTGCTTCCCTCACACCAGTGTGTGAATTCTTTCCAGTAACGCATTCAGTGATGTGAATTGCATCTATCACATACTTGTTCTTTTGTGATTTTCTGCAGGGATTTTGTGTGTATGTTTATTTGTTAACTTAGGACAAAAATATGTCGAAAAGCAGACTTTTCAGTAACATATATGAAGGAAAGAGAAATAAAAACCTTACTACTGGATGTTCTGTATTTGTCTCATAAATGAAAAAGAGCAGCTTGGCTTGTGGAAAAAGTGAAATTCAAATATGATATTGGAGACGCTTATAAACCTCCTCATAATAGAACTGCATAATTAAGTGAGATTCAATCACTGTGGAATTACAGGCCACAAGGAAGAATAAAAAATGGTCACTGACTATTGTCATCCTTTTTAATGATCTGTTTGTTTGGATTTGATTGTTAAAAGATGTCACTTATTTATAAAATTAATCAGCAGCAGTATGGATTTTTTACTGCCTGTTGTGTCTGTAGCAGAGTTTGGAGGTCCAAGCTTGTTGCTGCAGCTCCTGAAGGAAGGTACTGGGATGTGTGGAGAGCTGGCCACTGCTGAGGAGAAAGAGGGCAAGGAAGGGGGGGCAAATAAAAATAAGGGGTGAGGCCTCTGTGCAGCAGAAACAGCAGACATTTGCCTTACCCTTTTTCTCCTGCCTTCCCCCATCTTCTTCCAGAAGACAAAAGATTGACTTGTTTGACTTTCAATCCCAACTGTATCTTCTCCTTTCCTTCCGTTGTTCTTCTGAATGGCCTTTCCCAACCCTATCACTATTTTTTCTAGGATTGTGAATTACTTCTCCAACTATGGTTGGAGAAAAGATAGCAGTGAAGCATGTCCTGAAATCCTACTAAGATTAATAGGATATAGGTATGAGTAGAGATTGAATGAGTATGTTGATTGAGTACTTTTCAGAGAGGAAAGGTATATTTTTAAGAGGCTTGGCTTCTCATTCCCAAAAATCAGTGATGTCTGAAAAAGGTTTTATCTTGACAACAATAAATCATCAGCAGTCTAACCTTGCTCTTTCTATGTTTAGGCCAATGAAAACATTTGTTAGTGCCACATGCACTCTAGTTCAGTGGTTTCCCAGACCCGTTCAGGACAGCAGAGGTAGATCCATGTTCTGAGCTAACTCAGTGGGAGGCCGTATGTACGACCTTGAACCACTGCGATAGCCTCAGGGCTGTGCCTAAGCTAGTATGTCCCATGTTGTGCTGTCGAACTCAGAGCGAGAGGCTGGGACTGGGCTATTTGAAATGTGAGTGGTTTGCGGTTTTTTACAAGTATGCAAATTGGTATCCCATAAACAAATTGTAGTGAAAGTTTAGGCTGATTTTCCTCAGTACTAAGAAAACTGTATCCCTTGAGTGCTTTTGAGAGAACAAGACTGATTCATTGATGATCTGCTGTGTCCTTTATCTGTTATCTATTCTTCATGGACTTTTCTATGCATTTTGTGTGATTCTTTTGGTATTTTTCTGAATTTCAGAGGTATGTTTTCTTCAAAACTCCTAAAGAAGTTAAACCTCCTGAGGATCTCCAGGACCTGGGCGTTCGATTCCTACAGCCGTTTGTGAATCTGTTATCCAAAGGAACGTACTGGTGGATGAATACATTCATCAAGACCGCCCATAAAAAACCAATAGACCTGAAAACCATAGGCAAGCTTCCCATTGCTATGAGAGCTCTGACCAATTACATTCGCCTTAATGAGGCCTTTGAAGCACAGAAGGTATGCAAAGCATGGAATTATGTCCATCTCGTTACTCAGTGGTTATAGTTTTCTTTACTTTCTATGCTGTGAGCATGATATAAAATTACATAAACAGACATGATGCGAATGAAATATCCATTAGCACAGCTTTCCATATGCAAAGAAATCACATACTCAACTGTACCTTGTAGAAATAATGAAATTTCTCTACCTAAACATGCATATAAAATACTTTACTGGTTAAATGCATGCAAAGTATATATGGCTTCTATTTTGATGTGGAAAGTCATTATGGATTGTATTCACTGAACCCCATTGTCATTCTTCCCAGTAAGACCATGGAACCATTCAGTCGCAGAGTCAGTATTTATGAGGCCTCACAGGACTTTTTTTTTTTTTTTTTCCCCTGATGTTATTTCAGTTACAGTTTGTGTATAGGAGTATTCAGGGCTGAAACCACCTTAGCTCAAATTCTGCTTGACTCCCTGGTGGGACCTGAGTGTATTCAGGATTTTAAGAGAAGTGTTTTGCATTCTGCCTAAAAACAGTCTAAGTTTTGTGTCTCTGTGTTCACAGGAACACAAAACCTGTAAGTTCCCTCCCTCTTTTTATCTTTCTCACCAGGTAAGCAACAAACAACACACTTATCTGATCCTTATTAAGGATAGGAGAGAAATGATGGTTCTTTGTGTGACAGGGATGGGGGGTACAAATTATTGCGTTGTTCTGATTTTTTAAAACCAAATGAAACAATAATTGTAGTTCCAGTGCTTTTCTAGCTCAGAGATTGCAGCTGGTTGTCAATGAAATAAAGGAGAGGTAAAACCACTAATTTATCAGAGCTGAGTTTAATACATAACATAATCCTTTTTTTTTTTTTTTTTTTAATTCTGAACAGAACAAAAGGTCATCATCTCCACAAGGCTCCAGATCAATTTGGCGTGCTCTCTGCTGTGCTTTTGGAAGACCCTTACTTCTCAGTAGTACATTCCGTATTCTGGCTGACTTGCTTGGATTTGCTGGTCCGCTCTGCATCTCTGGGATTGTTCACAATGTCGGAAAAGGAAACAACACCATCCGCCCACAGGTACAGTCAAAATGTCACAAAAACATAGAGGAACCAAAAAAAGTAATGCTATGGTTATGTATTATTTGGCCTCAGTAAAGAAAGTGTGACTCTGCAACCTATTTGTGAATGCTACAAATGACGGTGTGTATGTACTGCCCATTATCCACATTTATACCTGGATGGGGAGGAAAATGTGTTGTCCACATCTCTAGTCAGGCTTGCATTCTGGAAAATAACCTCATTCAAGATAATGGTGAAGCATATCCAGAATCTCAGTAGTATCAGGAGGATTTTAGGTACAGTCTTAAGTAGAGATTGAATCAAATATGTGACTGAGTGCTTTTCAGAAAGGAAAAAGTGTATTTTTAACAGGCTTGGCTTTTCATTTCCAGAAATGAGTGATGTCTACAGAGGATTAAACCTGGCTTCTGTCATTGCAATAAAATGCTGAATAATTTAGCTGTGACAAAGAATTTCTACTAGTGTCTTTGGGGAGGTTGGTTTTAAAGATGGACTGAAACATATTTTTAAAGAATGCTACGTAAATGAGTGTTCCCCAAGAAGAAACAGACAGACTTCTTGATCAACTAAAAAAAAAAAAGGAAATACTTAGGAAGCATTTTCTCAGTGTAAAGTGAGGTCACTTAGGCTGGATTTCTGTGAGAAAGCTCAGTTTATTATTTCAACTCACTTACTGTTTGATATAAGACTTTATCTCCGAAGTCTGTTGACACTAATGGAAATACACTCATTTACTCAAGTACACTTTGGATTAGGTCCACTGTACGTACTGAAATACATCAGATGCATTGCAGAAAATTGAACAAAAGCCTCAGACTGAAATTAATTGTTTATCCATTTTGCAATCCTTATCCTAATATTTGGAAACTTAATATAGCAGGTAGTTTCAATGGAAACCAGTTAAAGCAGGAAATTAAAAAATACCCAAGACTATAGGGCTAACTTTCTATTCAAACCATCTGCAGAGACTCGTGTGTTCAGGAAAACTCCCACATGTATGCACACACCTAGCCAACTGGGTCTACTTTGGAAAAAATATACCAGCTCTACCGCTAGGAATGCTATATCCTTACTTGTAATTAGTCAATAAAGGAGAACCTCGCCTTATTAATTGTTTGCTTCTGAGAGCTACATAGATGTGGGAAACGAGCCTTCTATGACACTGTCTTATGAAAGCAAAGATAAGGGGGAGGGGGAAACAATGTGTGTCTGATGTGCTACGGAATTTGAGGGCACTGGAAAGTATTTCCATACAGTGGGATGGAATCAGACGAGCCAAGTAAGCTGTGAGTACAGCAGGGAGTCTTTTACCCCTCCCTTAAAGTGACATTTCTTCATTATAAAGAGTTGTGGACATGTAATGAGTCAACTGTATCTTTCAAAAAGAAATTCTGTTTGTGAAACTGAAAGAAATTATATAAATCCTAAGATATAATATTTGCTCTATTCTTCAGGCCCCTTGTGACAGTTATAAACTGCCGTGGAGCTGAAACTCTTGAGGTCACGTGGGTGTCACAGGCAGAAAAAATAACTGCTTTAGTTAGTGCCACAGTTAGTCAGAGCACGACAGAGCCTTAAATCCCATCACGCTCTTCATGTTTATTTATAACTCCAGTATCAATATTTATGGCCACCCCAGAATGTTCTTATGACATGAATTTCCCTGAGTGTTAATCATTTCACACTGACGAGGACACTGACAGAATGATAACCTTTAGGTTCTGCTGGTAGCATCTTCCACATTGCAGTGTTAGGATTAGCAGTTCCACTAGCAGGACCATCTGCTGACATAACACATTCAAATGTTACACCAAACCTACGGGCTCATTATTTTAAAAGCTCTAGAAGTCATAGGTGTAGCAAAAGACCCAGTATTGACATTTAAGTCTGTGTGAGTCTAGGGTCTTTAAGAATTTAAATAGTGACCTTTGGAGCCTACTGGCACTTTTTAAAAGTGGTATTATCCTGCAGTTGTCTGGAAGGTGGGACAGTGAATATCCTCAAAGCCCTTTCTGAAAATAAAACATCAAACAAGGTTATTTGCCTTAAATGTAAAAGATTCAGTAGATGTCAGCCTGCAGGAAACACAAAGAAATAACTGACCAAGTGTAGTTAGACAACTGTTGTAGTTTAAAAATACAGATTCTCAGTGACTTTGTAAACCATAATGACCTGATAATGCATGTGAAACTTGGCAAATATTTAACTGCTTTCGCCGTGTGTGATGTTTATGTACATATGTTTGTCCTCCTTTTCTCTCAAATTGAGAACTAGAAAAAATGATGAGACTATTCATTGCACTTTTCCTCCTTCTTTATCCTTCAGTGTTGGTGAGAATCAACACTGAACCAAAATCTCATTGCTAGAAAAGCATGATTTCTCAAAATATGGTTGTGTAAAAAATGGTGTTGTTTTACATACAGTAAAAAGTGGTGTTAGCTGCAGTGATTAGCAGTATTAGCCAGATGTATATGTAGGACAGCACTGAAACACTGCTGTTACTGCCTTTGATATAACACATCACAGTCTGTAACCTTCATGGTTAGCCTTTCTCTTTGCCCTCATGTTAGTATTTTGGACAATCATGATCTCCCAGTGTCACAGACTTTTATGTCATTCTAGCTTTGCCTTCATAGGAAGCTTCTTTTAGTTTTTAACGTGTTACGGAGATGCCACTTTTTCCTGGATGACCCTGTGTTGAAATAAAAAGAAATACCAGTGAAGAACTGCTAAAATAATAGCTGACCTGAGAAAGGGTAACTCAGAGGAAAGATTCTCACTGTTGCAAGTCAGCAAGATATATCTGAGATGAAAACATCACAAATTTAAATGATCCCGGTTTTCCCCAAATGTGCTTATTCTTTTTTTTTTTCTCAAAAAAACCACCAAGTCTTGCAGTTATATACTGTTTCACATTCCATTTTTTATCTAAGTATATGTATATACTGCACAGGAAACAATCAGTGGCTCTTAAACTTGCACAGTTAAGCACCAGGGGCAGTTCTTCCACCTTACATGTTCCTGACGCTTTGTGCTTGTGACCATAAATATTAAGGAGTCTGAAAGATAAATTGGATGCATCTAATTGGTCACAGACTTGGGCAATTCGTGCATTTCTCTTGTCTTTTCTGCTGTCAAGGCCTTACAGGTAGCATGGGAGAGACTTCATTGTACTTGTAATTTTCCAGATTAAAAACCCCATCTTCTAAAGCTTCTAGGCAAAATGTAGAGCCTTGAGTCTTTCTTCTTATTTTTCAGTGGTACAGCAAGAATAAATTTACAACCACAGTTACATCTGCAAGGGTCAATGGCAAGTTAACTTGATTTGAAAAGCTGAACTTGTAAGGCTGTAAATAATCTAGAAGAGAAACGCAGTTGTACTGCACCATAGCTTTTTGTAGTATCTAATGCTGCTGGAGCCTATTTGAATTACTATGGAATAACTAATCATTTAGGGCTTCAAAACCCTTTAAGGTACAGATAACTAAATTGTAGTTAAACAACTCTTTATCTGAACATAATTGCTGACATGTACCATAATTGTGCAGTGCGTGGCACTTGATATAGATTTAAAGGAACATGTATGCCCAGTGATGGCTTGCATTCTATTGATTTGACTTTGAAGACTCCATATGCTTGAACACTTTCTCAGGGGGCTTCTCTGAGGAGTGATTCCCAAAACGCTTCTAGGAGGTTCAGTAGCCCTGCAGACTGCAGAAATAGTTACATGCATCAAATCTGGTTGAAGTCAAAGTACCTAGCTGAATTGAAAAATATTATCATCTGACAATTTACCTTTGAGAGCAAGAAGTAAGTTATTGAATAAAATAGTTTTTATTCCCTGTTTTCGAAGCATGAAAATCAGCACTGTTGAGTGTCACTGATTGAAATTTTCAATCTGTGACACTCAACAGTGTCACAGGGACTCAACTGTCCTTATAAGTTCTTGAACTGTATACTTACATAAAAGTAGTATATGACTATCAAAATGCCTCCTTATGGAAATAAGGAACAATCGTATGAGCAAAGATTGACAGGAATGGAATCCTAATTACTTGATTTCCTTTGTGTCCAGCCTTGGTCTGAATCTCAGTAGCTTCTAACAAATACCACTTAAATGGAAAAAGGGAGTAAATCTAAGAAATCCACACAAGTCTGACTGTGTTGCACAGTAGACTAAAGTCTCTGATGGCCTTAAACTATTAGTTTGGTCCATGTTTGAAGAGTCAACCACAATTTATTTGTAAGTGATCAGATGAGGAGAATGACTCTTTGTTGCTGATGAATGACCTCCCAGGCACCTCCACACATGGTTAAACTGCTGTGGGGACAGAGACATTACCTTCTTCTCATGAGAAGGAATATTGCTGTGCAAGGTGAGAGGCACTGTGACAGGAAACTTGTACTGAATGTGTTTTGCTAAGCATGCACTCTTCTCATGGAGTAAAACAAAGGATCCTTTCAAAAACTGTTCTGCTCATTGTCTTGTTTGCAAAGGTCAGCAATACCCTACCGACGTGTCATGGTTTAGGCCCAGCCAGCTGCTCAGCACCACACGGTGGCTCGCTCACTCCTTCCTGGTAGGATCATGAGCAGAAAATACCAGGAAAGGCTCATGGGCTCAGACAAGGACAGGGAGGGATCACTCACCAACCAGACTTGATTGGGGAAGAAATCAATTTAATTAGTTACCAATCAGATCAGAGTAGGATAATGAGTAAACTGCAAGGTGCAAATCGGATATAATAAAATGTACAGTGGGAGTTTGTGAAATACAGTTTAAATGTACAGTAGTGTTGAAAATGTCAAGAAACTATGTAGACAAAAGAAACATGCTGAGCAAAGAATACAGCAGAAGTGTAAATGACAAGAAGCCGTCTGAGAGGGAACAGAGACCTCTTCCTAATTTTGCCTTTAATGGCAGTATAAGTCAGGAATCAAAGTTTTGAAGGAGCCAAGGGGAAAAAGAAGGCAGCAGAGACATTTTCATTTCAGAAGGCTTCCCAAAGTGAGCCAGCCTCTCAACTACTTGGGCACCAAAGGTGCCTGCTTGTTAAATATAATCTAGAATAAATGCACTGCTTTCCCAGTAAGCTATAGGCAGGCTTCAGAATGCATTTTGATCTCATGAACTTGCTAGGACCATAAATAAAAATGCTGAACAGCATGCTGCAAACCAAATTAATGTGCATAGTTCTAGGAGTTGGAAGGATGTGTTTTTGGCAAGTTGTGTGGAGGTCATTTCAGTGTTCAGTAACCTGAGATGCTAAAATAAGGAGACTAATTTATCTGAAAGGATATTAACTAGTCCTTTCTGACAATGGGCATTGCACATCTTTGGCAAATGACTGTATGGAGTTACTCAGTGTCCTAGAGTTTTGGAAGGATATCAGAAATCCTATAAATGTCATTCTGTATTTAAATAAAGCTTACTGAGTTGGCACACTATATGACTGTTGCCTTGAACTGATAAACTATGAAGTTTTGGATAAGGTTGGGAGCACTTTCAAAGTAATAAACTATGGTTATCTCTGCTTATTAATTATGAAAACCTGCTAATTAAATTAAACTTTCTTTTTTTTATAGACTAAAATTCTTGGTGTTTTCTTTATTTCATCTCAAGAGTTCCTGTCCAATGCTTATGTTTTGGCTGTACTCTTATTTTTTGCCCTTCTGTTGCAAAGGACGTTTCTCCAAGCATCGTACTATGTTGCTATTGAAACAGGAATCAACTTGAGAGGCGCAATACAGGTAGCCAATATATTATTAATTGACCTATTTTTATACAATCATATGTGTGTTTGTAAATATGAATTATAATTACAGTAGTTAAAGTGTGTCTCCTGGAATGTATTGGATGTAACCATTGCCATTAAAAACTGTGTTAGCTTAGACTTGCATTCTCTTTCCTCTGCATCTTATTGGATGATTTTATATAAACGTTTATTTGTAATATCTAATGCTATATTTCTTCTTACCTTTAAGCATAAATTTTCTGACAGTAAAACTGAACGTGACTTTTGAAAGAATTTAGATTCTGAACTAGAGCTCTGCCATCTCAAAGGTGTGTTTTTGTAACATTCCATGCAACAAATACAGCTTTAAAATGTCTTGTAAGTATAATTTGGACAAAAAGATAGGTTGTATTCCCAATGCAGGGAGTAGAGTCTTATGCTGTGGATCAGGCCACAAAATCTACCAGGCATTGCAGAATCTGTAATGACCAAACATAAGTAAGGTTGGTAAAACAGTGTCCATAATCATTGTATAAATGTGAACAGCAGATCAAAGCTTTATGTAGTATACAGAAATATGTGTCTGGAAATGCGGGAATTAGGTGTAAGATTACAACGTGCTATTGCCAAATGCACTGGGTGAAACCTACCCTCTGACAGCTTGAAAGCCAGCCTTCTAAGTTACGCTATTTATCCGGTGAGCTGCATAGATCCTTTGAGAGTCTGTGTGATAGATGGATGCTTTCAATAGCAGTGTAATTGTTTAATCCTCTTTTGATCTTACACTTGGAAGCATTTGTCTGTTGCCAGACTTCTGGATTCCGTCCATTGTATTTTCCCGTATTAGACTGAAGTAGAATTTGTAAAGAAATAAAAATTTCACCCAAAATACATAATAAAAAAGTTGCATGTCTTGTATCAAGTAGAAGAGCTGCAACTAGGATGGATCACAGCAAGTGTAAAAGAGAAATTGTTGGAAAACAGTGCTACATTAACTTCATTTAAGAAAAGGTTTGTGTTCTTTCCACTGGATATTACACAGAGGTACAGATAATGCCAATCGTCAAACCCTTCAAACTGGAAAATTTCTAGCCATCACTCTAAGCAGCAGAATCAGTGTTAATGGCAGTCCATGTGCCAGGATTTCTATGCAATTTTTTCCCCAAATTTTTCAATTTTCTTTAAACCTTTTCTCTCTCTTCCTTCCCTGTGTAAACCTGCACCTGTTCAACGTGCACTATGTGACTTTATGCTTCATGATGGACAGTTGGCACTTGATCCAAAGGCACTTACTGAATCAGGGTGCCTCCTGTCAGCTAAGTTTCATGACTGCAAAGCATCACTGTGTAGCCTTTTACCAAACCAGCTGGTAAAAGTACTCTTTCATTATTGTGTATTGAGCTATTTTTATACATGATCCCTGATTCTGCACTGGGGCAACTACTTGAGTGAGTACCGAATCGGACCTGTTACAATAGTTGTCTGTGACATAAACTTTGTAATGGGACTGAGCTCTCTAGGCCAATATATAGCAACATTCTCAGCCAGGGACATGGTTCTGAGGTTGGATGGACCTGTATCAATTGCCAGAGAAAAATAACAAGGATTATAATATATTGATTATGTTATATTGAATGTAACAATATATTATTTTATTGGCACTAGTTACAGCAAGGGAACTCCATGGAGAAGCGGGAGGTATAAATCATAGTCACTAATGTGGTTGTGGGGCATTTTGGGCAGTACAAGTGTCATTCTCTTACTGATCCGCAGGGATGCATAAGGGAGTGCGTAGATAACTGTTACATACCTAATTGCACTGTGTTCTTTTTGGGTGAACAGTAAGACAGGAGCTTAATATTTTTCATCATAACCTAGAATACAACACTTCAAGCTCTTCATTCAAGTTACTGCGAATGTTGGTTTCCCTCAGCACCTGTGTTTTAGATGGAGCTGGCAATCTTATTTTATTTCTATATGCTAACACCTTTTGATCTCTTTTCCAGACAAAAATATACAATAAAATTATGCAGCTTTCAACTTCTAACATGTCTATGGGAGAGATGACTGCAGGCCAGATCTGTAACTTGGTTGCCATAGACACAAATCAGCTGATGTGGTTCTTTTTCCTCTGCCCTAACCTTTGGGCTATGCCAGTACAGGTAAGGAGATTGACCGTGCTTTTGTTATTAATGTGCCTCAGTCTGTAGTGACTGATTGCTTATGGATTTTATGAAAGTAGACATATTAAAGAAGTTAAAGAATAACTTGAAATAAGATTTCGAACTATTAATATCTAGAACCATTCTGTGAACTGTATTTCACATCTGTGACAGGACTCTAGTTATTTGAGATTATTTTAGCATCTTGACTGCTGCCAAACATGCTTTGCATTTGTAACAAGAATTTATAGTGTGCAGCAGGTTATGTTATTCCAGTGCATTCATTTATTATATCAGGGGAGTTAACTGGAATGTATTGCAATCATTTGTCTTCTGAATGCCAGCAGAAGCAAGGGAAGTAGCAGTTTATTCAAAAATAAGGTCGCTTAGAGATGATCCGTTAAAACTGCTGCTGCCTCGTGGGTGACAAATTCTAGCATACAAAATTGCACAGCTTCATTTGTTATGTGGAATGGTTTTGCTACTTTATCCTCCCTGATCGCTTTGGTCTCCTGTTTCTAAATATCACTCTCATCCCTCCTTTCCCACATGCATGACACGGAGCAGATCACTGTTCTGGGTCACACTCGGTCACCTGGTGACTCCTGGTTCCGTGTCCTGTAGCCTTGTGTCATGACCAGTGAAATACAGCTGGGTCTTACTGAGTCTTTAAGGTGAGGAAACAGAGTCCCATCAGAAGGTACTTTCACGACTGATTTAAATTAATCTTAAGTCTGTTCCCTTACCAAAACAGGAGTTTGTATGTGGTGTCCAACATGGAAACACTATTTTTACCTCCTTCATTGTTACAGCTCTATAGATTGTGAACTGTGTCACATGAGCTTGTGGAGGTACTGAAAAACTGATCTGGTGAATCTCACTGGATGTCCATGTGATTAATTTAAATTTACACTAGTATGAGGATAGAATGGAAAAAGAGTTGTAGGAGGCTAGAGAATTCTCAGTACAATCTTGGATCGTTTTTCAAGGTTCATACTTACTGAAATGGTGGAAAAATGAAAATTTCTGTGGTTTGGAAGAGCTAGTACTTAAACAAAAGCATAGAAAACTCCTGCACTTCCATTTAGGATTTTCCTGAGAAAACTGACATTACTGCACATAGTTTCATCTGATAATGTTCTGCAATTCTTTCTGCTTTCTTCTGTCTGTTTTCTGCTTTCTCCTATCTAGGCGGTGGATTTTTATTGAGTGTGCATCAATGCTAAAAGTAAATGCAAACGAAGGAGGTGGCAGAGTTTAGGTTCACTCAGTATTTTCTAAATGTATCATTTAGTTTCAAAATCATGATGAAAACTCCATTGTGTTCATGTCACAAAGGTGGTCTGGTTCCAGCACTACACAGGGGCCGATTTGGCTGGTGTGGGAGGCAAACAGCTGCAAGTAATCGACCCAGCAGCTTTGCATTTTGGGTTGCCTGCTATTGCCCAAAAAAGAAATAATTTTCATGAGACTGTGTATGGACTGTAACTGGCAGATCATATTTCTATTGAGTTTTTAACATGGTTTTAGGAGTGTGGCTTAGGAGTTCCTGTGTCCATCAACATCTGATATGAGTGATTTTTCTTCTATGAGATGTTAAGCATACAGGAATATTACATTGAAAAACTAGGGATAGGGAAGAAAAGCCAGTCAATTCAGGTGATCATATGAATGTCCTTCAGAGAGTAAGGCGCTAGACTAATGGCTATCAGGAGATCTGGATTCTTTTCTGACAATAAAGATACGTATTATATTTGAGTGGATTTTATAGTTGTTCCTATCCAGAGTATTTTGAAGTGGGGAAAAAATCCCCAGTGATCAAAGAACATGTCCTAATACTGATTTCTAATTGCAAAAGGGAAGACAACTATAACGAAAAGAAACTGATATGAAATATGGCTACAGGTTGGCAGTTTGTTAGTAATAATTTGGATATCAAGGTGTATTTGTCCATTTACTGGAAGTACCCTGCAATAGGAAGCCAGTGATTGTATACTGCTAAAATGATATGCTGAAAGAGCTATGAGACATTAAGACAGGTCTATCCTTTTAGTGGTAATGTTTAGGGTCCAGTTATCCCCTAGGCTTAGTTTCCATTGTGTCTGTTAGCAAAACAGCCTATGTAAGAGGTACCAATTTCATGTACACTTTTTGTAAGACTACTCTGGCAGCTCAGAGTAGAGAGTGCTTTAGTGTAACTGAGAATTAAGCCAATTTCATTGTATATTCTGTAACAACATTTTGCTCTAATATACTAGAACTCGTGGACTCATAAATATTTCCTGACAGTCTTCTGAAAATATGATTATATTTGCACTGAATTTCACCCTGCAATGCTCCTCATCTGCTGAGGACAATCAGTGTCAAAGCACGCTCCTGTTTTGTGGATGGTGCACATACTGTAAGGCACAAGTCAATGAATCGCATTGGTTGCAAAGGTTTCTTCAAACACTTTTGCATCATTCATTCAATACCTTGTTTTAAGACGCAGTGAATGCAATTACTGGATGCTCTAGTGATGGCTAATAAAAAGTTTAACAGGCTTTGTTATTATTTAAAATAGGTTTTTAATTGTTTTGTCTTAACCTAACAATCAGCATTTCAGCATCTGCTGTGGATTTTGTAATAGCCATTCATAACCAGTTAGGTTTTCTATACAGTCCAGATAATTTGAGCCCCATCCTTCCTCTGACTGGAGTCAATAGGAGCTTTATCATTGCCTTAAGTTACTGTTTGAAGACCATTGAAATCCATGAAAAGACGCCCGGGCATGCCCATCAATTGAAAGATGCCCTCAGTAGGTTTGGCTCAAACCCTGGGAGCAAAATGAGGTCCTATAAAGGCTTTCTTCCCCACCCCCACCTCCATTTTATGAACACCCTTGTTTGATTTCATTGTGATTATTAAAAACTCCTGTATTCTCATATCTGGTTCATTGGCAGGCATAGCTTACAGTTGTAATGAAAGGGCATTTGTACCTTTCAAAACTGGCCACAAAACAGTTTCTGGCTGAAAGTATTTGCTATCTTCATGAAATAACCAAGACAAAATAACCAGAGCTATTGGTGAGCTTCTTGCTCGTGATACATATCTCTGGCAGGTAAGAGCTTTGGGATTTTGATGAAAGGGAAGCAAATTGCTTCACTGCATGCTTTTTTAAAAATACCATCATTACAGTCTCAGAAATATTAATGAGAGCCTTCCCATCTGTCAGCTACTGTCCTCCAGCAGTTCAGATCGTATCTACATACTGTTTATTCTTGACTGTGTAGTGTGTGGTATGATAAATATAGAATTACTTGCAATAATACTTGCAGACTTCAGCACATTTCAGATATATGTATTCACAGACTTAAATTGAGAATGGCTTTTTTTATCCCATACATGAGGAATATATTTTAAAAGTTTGCCCTTAGTATCACAATATAAAGAAGATGAAAATGGAATAATTTTTAATCTATTGAAAGCACAGAACTTTTATTGCAAAGACTAACCCTTTCAATAACCAGGATGGGGTTGGGGGGAGCAGAAAGCAGCTAGCAACTCCCTCAGGATCCGATAGCTGGAGTAGCTTTCCCCTTGTCTGTGTGAGAAGCTGAGGCTGTTTCTAGAACCAGACGGTCCCATAATGTCCTTGACAATCAACCAGTAGTGCAGGAAAGCAGGGAGTCAGTGTTCCATATTGACTTTGTATTTTTGAACATCTCTTAACCGTGCCCTGTTCGATGCTTTCCTGGAAAAGGAATGCTTTGCTGGACTGTTTGCCCATGAAGAGGCAGTTGGGAATGGATATCTTCACCTGTAAAGACAAAGACCACGTAATGTTTTGGAGGGGAGCTCTGCCAGGGCTATTTGACAGGGGGCTTGCATGTTTTCTTTGGCCTCATACACTCATGAATTTCCTGACTTCAGATGGAAGCAGATTGATCACTTACCACTGAAAAATTTTTAATTTACATTTTAACCTTTGTTGTTACTAGATTTGTGTTGTATATACAATAGGATTTTACTTTCATGTTACTGCATGTTTCCTAAGTAAATACTGTGACTTATTTTAAGTGTCACATTTTAGTTTAGTTCATCTGCAGAGAGGCATCGAAGGATTGTTAAGGGGGGGAATGAATCTGTGTTTTCTCTCAGTGTGCCTTAAATTCCCAAAAATGTCAAGATGGAAATATGAAAAGGACTCTGTTTTTCTTCATGGAAACACCCAATTCCCATAAATATGTGTGGGAATTGATGTCCATATGACTACCTAGCTTCAAAATGATGGAAAATGTGTTTCTGTGAGGGTTATAAGAGTATGCAAATATAGCAAGAGTAGTAGATAAAGCTTTGATGAGATTTCCATATTTTTTTTAATTAAGGGAAATGATGTATGAAATTAACTTTCTATCACTATGTCTTCTGATTAATTTATCAGCTTATACTGATAAATACATAAAATGCCTAATGCTCCATATAGTTCAGGAGTCAGCCATTAGAATAGTGGTAATTAATGTTTGCCTTTACCGAGCTGTTTACAGTATCCCTTTCCATCCAGACTGTGGCTTTCTCTCTACATTCTTATTTATTCAGGGACAAACCTTTGTTTTTTAAGCTGTTTCTCTAACCATTTTTTAACAGTCATTGCCAGTCTGGTACTGTGGATCCTTAAAAAACTTCCTTGCAAGTTTATGTTGGAGTTTATTAGAAGTGGAGGCTCTTAGTGATATGATTATGATGTTTCTTTTTTTATGTACCAGTCCACAATAATGTCATGTTAACATTTGCAAGGTCAATAATATTTCCTATTAGTTTCTATAGTAAGAAAAGAGGCATTCCTTCTTTGTGAAATTCCAAGTGTTGTAGACTATTGAGTTCTGATTTAACAGGGTCTTCCCTGGTGTAAAAATGCTTAAATATCAAAGAAGAAAATAGCATGTGTTTTCTTTGAATTATAAATTTCTATGTCATCTGACCAATGGGGAAAAATATGTAATAGTGACTATAAAGGGAACATCTCAATCTGTTATTTGGAAGTATTTTAAAATAACTCCTTATTTAAAGATTTTTAAATAAATTTATTTACTTTTAAACAAAGATACTTTAAATAGCTGAGAGAGTTACATTATACAAGATATGTAAATCTGTACAACCTTGTACTGTTCATAAGTATAACAGTAGAAAAGTAGAATCTTTAAACAAAGATATTTTAAATAGCTGTGAGAGTTACATTATACAAGATATGTAAATCTGTACAACCTTCTACTGTTCATGACTCGAAGTGGAAATACATGGAATCCACAACTTGGGAAGGAACACTAGGTGGGTGTATTTGGTCCTCTGACAGCTTCTCCTGGCTGATCACACCCCACTGTGCCAGCCATGCAGAACATTGGATGCCTGGAGATAGGGTTAGCTGCAGTGGCTGCTAGGTTTGAACATGCTGTCCAATCACCTTGTGATTGTTCTTTGTGGTGTATAACCAAAGTGAAGCCATCCCAAGCCTTCCCCCTACTTTCTTTACTCTCAACAGATAATTGTAGGAGTTCTTCTGCTCTACTACCTTCTTGGAATCAGTGCCTTAATTGGAGCAGCAGTAATCATTGTCCTTGCACCTGTCCAGTACTTCGTAGCAACAAAACTATCTCAGGCCCAGAGAAGTACATTGGTAAGTTGGTCTTCATCTCATACATAATATAAATATCATGGTAATTACATTTTGTGACATCAAGAATGTGAAAACATGATAAGCATAAGCAGTAAGGATAAGGTTTGGGGGTTATATTTTTCAACAAGTATGTTTCCCTAAGAGCAAAAAACTTAAGATTATTCTAACTAGCAAATGTAAATGGTCATTAATCATTGACTGAAATGGATTTGTGTGATCAGATGGTGCACAAATAAATGAATCATGCAGGGCAAGCTATCCAAGGGGAAAGTAAGTAGGTGTGCTGCACCTGAACTCAGACCCCAGATACATCATATATGCAGAAGTCTATCAAACTGATTTATTTAAATAACCTTTGGGCATTCCTAACTCCCACAGCATGCCCCTCAACTGGGGAGCTGAGGGCTGCTAAGTCACAAGCTGTTCCTTGATCCTTCACTTGGCTTGTCGGTATTTTGAATCGCCTGCATCACTGCTGAGAGAGTTACCTTTGTTCATTGGAATTACTGTGTCCAACTGCTCTGAGCCTTATTGCCACTTTTGCAGTGACTGTTGCACTGCCAAGGAAGCCATATGAACTGTAATGGAGCCAGACAGCTTGCTGAGATCTCTTCCACCACAAACATGAGTGGTAATGAGAGTTATTTGTGCACGTTCCTGTGTGAAAAATAATGCCTTAACATCAGCAGTATACACCCTTCCAGAAATGTAGATAGCACTCATCCCTGTAGCATCCAAGCAGACTGTCAGCATCACCTAGAAACCCCTGCAGATGGGAGGAGTGTATTTTGTGCTAGAAACGTCTCCACTGTGCAACATAGCATGGTACAAAGATCCTTGAACTAGCCTGAAAACTGGCAGCAGCGTAACTTCCAGTTGTGCTTTACTGTGAGTATAACTTCACCCCAGTGTATTACTGTGTCTGAGCCCACTGGCCCTGCTCAGTCAAGTTTCCTGACCTATCGCAGCTTCTTGTAACGCAGCCTTGCTGCTTTGAAACCTGGCACCCTTGGTTCCATAAGTTGTTTCAGCAGAGCGGTGTGCTCATTTGTAGCTTGACTGCGTGTTCTGATCTCCGCTGTATGCTGTCAGTGTGCCTGTTGAAGATCCAGCCAGTGCACTGGGTGGTAGAAGTCAGGAGAGGCTGCCGTGCAAGTGATCAGAAAGCTGACAGAGGAATAAAATTTTAAGTAAAAGCTATACAATTTAGGAGTACAAACCAATGGCCTTTTCACTCGAGCTCTAGGAAGAACACATCTGCCTGGGCAGAACTAGTAAAGTACACCGGACTGATTATAAGGGGCTACATACAATTTTTGTGTGATACTTATGAGCAGGGGACAGGTGTTTTAATTATACTCCTTAAGTAAATGTCTATGTAAATGTTGCAGGAGTACTCCAATGAGAGGCTGAAGAAGACGAATGAGATGCTTCGAGGCATTAAGCTCCTCAAACTCTATGCTTGGGAACACATCTTTCACAGCAGTGTAGAGGAAACCAGACAAAAAGAAATGACTAGCCTCAAGTCTTTTGCCCTTTATACCTCCATATCCAGTAAGTCTCTCCTTTCATTCTAATTGACTGTTCAGCTGAAGTACTACTGCATTATTAGCTACTAATGAGTTTACCATTTCTCTGTTGAGATTGTTTCAGTTGCTTTAGGCTCTGATCCATACTCCTCACTTCCATTTAGTCAGAGTTCCCATTTAATTCAGTAGAACTTTGCCTGTATGGGAAATATGTCTAAAAGAAAAAGTCAAGATTAATGTTTCATAGCATTAACTTTTCTGGATAAAAGCTTTTAAGGGACAAGTGCTTCACAGACTACCTTCAGCCAGCAATATTCCCTGTAACAGAGCATTCAGGAAGAAGCCTTTGTTGATTTTTCTCCACCCACCAACCCACCCCCATGCATTTTGCACAATACAGTGTGTCGTAATATGTGACAGGAACTGACTTTGCATTGAGGCTCCAGGAGATGGTACTTACACCTTCTCACTCAAAATTTGGATTTCTAATAAAAACAAGTGATTCTTAAGGCCATTTCTGTATCCTGGAAAGGAAAAATATAAGAATCCTGGCAATTTCATCATTCCATATCCAGATTCTTTTGTCTCATGTTTTCTTTCAAGCTGCTTTAAAGCATTTATTATCCTTTTAAGAAGTCCTAGGGCAATTGAACTCTCTGTTTGGGGAGATCATATGCAACACCTATATAATTGCTACTGTAATACTTTAGAAGTAATTAATAAAGTCATACTGAAGAATGCTGTTCATATAATCTGTGAGATATTAATGAAATGGAAGCTTTCAGTGTGAAGTATTCAAATGCCACAAAGCACCTGTACAAATACCTGCTAGACTAATAGGGAAGACTGCTCCTTACGAGAATAACTTGCAGTCTGGTTAGTATTATTTGATCTCATTCACCCAAGAGACATGCAGCTGACTTTCTTCCCTGCCAAATGATCACGTAGGTAATGCGCTGTGAGGGAAAGTTCCTGATCCCACTGAATTTAACTGGCATTAAGCTGAAGTTTTCATTGGCTTCTGAGACAAGAATTTCTCTCTGGAGACCCTGAGCTCTCTGGGGGTGAAGGATAGTTTCCATTTTGACACAAAAGAGAATTTAGCTGGAGTAGAATGTGCAACCGGCAGCTCCTTCCTACATGCAGATCAACACAGATGGGCTCCCTTTGTCTGCAGCGCTTCAAGTGGCATTAAAATCTATTTGTAGTCGAGGCCACAGCTTCAGCTGTAGGGTTGAAGGAGCTGTGGAGACTCATTTGATTTTAAATCCCCACAGTGTCGTTTGTAACAGCTAGGAAAAGGTGTATTCATCCCAAGAGTGCTGACTCTTTTGTGAAGAAATACAGACATAAATAAACCCATATTATTAAAACCAGTTCTAAATATTTACTGATGCTTCTTGAAACTATCAGTGTTGACATTTTCATTCATGTTTTGTATTATGTGTGACATTTATGTGTAGGTAGGACATACTAATTTCTCAGCTGGGGTAAACCAGTGAAGCTTTTTCATGTTAATGGTGCATATCAGTTTGGCTTATGAAGGGTTCCTATGGTTTCAGCCTAGGAGTTCCTTACACCCTCTGTCTTTAGCAGAAATGACACTGATCTTTACAAACCTGCACTTTATCAGACTAAAAAGGGGGCATACATATAGGAATGTATTTTTTTTAGCGTAGCGTAAACCCTTTTTTCTTAGCGTAAGTATAATTAGAATGACAGGCATAACTGGCACAAAACATGTTTGCTAATATTATAGTGAACACATGATTTCATTTTTTTAAGAAAAAAAGAGTAAAAAAGGCAGATGACCAAGATTTTGTCTATTATTGATCAGGAGGAAAGCCGACACTTGCTAGAACAATAAAAAAGCAGAAATGTTTTTTATATACTTTTTTTTAATGTACAGTTTTGAATAGACTCTGGAATTCTTTTCTAAATACACTTAGCTATTAACATGAATGGAAGAATGTGGTTGGAGCTACTTCTATTCATGAGAAATAGATTTGCTTTGGGTTACAGAAAATATACGTACAAGTTTCAGGGCAGTGTTGTCTAGACCACAAGAAAATTCCATTTCAAGACTGCATGGAAATTGGATCTCAGCTGCCTCGCCCCTGTGCCTGGATCCCGTTTGTATGTATATGGAATTGGTCATGTGTACTAAAAGAGCTATTAAAGAAATTATCTCTTTCTATAATTTTAATGAAATGTACCCACCAGAATCCACTCTGGGTTGCCAAACTGGTGGTGACAACGTTTGAGACTCAGCAGTGAATACTTTAACAAAGAAAATTCTTATATAATTTTCTTCATACTGGTTGGTAAGATTGTCCTGGGTCCAGTTTTACAGGATTTCATATACACTATATATTCAGGAAAGACAGAGAAAGAAGGAGTGGTTTTCCTATTTCTATGAATTTTTCCTTCAGAAGCAAAGTAACTCCAGGCTTTCTCACAGGAAAAACCAGTACTTACTATCCTAAAATAATAAGAAATGACTGAAAACTTTTTTCCTAGTTTTCAGTCTGCCTTTTTCCAGTAACAAGGTACTTTTGACCAAATCTAATTGAAGTCTTAGCTGCGAAATAAATTTATTTTATAAAACATTTTATTTTTCTGGACACTTGCATAATTGAAAAAAAATCCCAAACCAAATCAAATAAACAAAAAAACACAACCCCCAGATTCCAGTGGCTCAATAGGCCTTTATTTGTTATCTTGAAAGGATTTTGAAGTGAAGTTCTTGGAGGCATATAATAGCAAAAATCAAATTGACTTCTGAGGAGGCACCAAGTGACCTTAACTGTCTGAACTGCTGAGAGCTTTGCCAACCCTACAATATATTTAATCCATCCAACTTCGTATTTGGCAGGCATGATCTCATACAGTAGATGGCAGAAAAGCAGGATCCATCTCTGAGAGGTTTATCAGCTTTGCTAGATTCTCTCATCTAGTTCATTCACAAAAGCAAGTTCGTACTAAAGCAGTCTCAAAGGCAGATTGCAAATGCAAAGATGTAATAGAATCAAGAATTCTGTAGCTTCAGGCAGCAAGCTTCCCTTCTTCAAAATTTCGAAGCTGTAACTACCTCAAGTTTATTCAAAGTGGGAAAACTGGGCAGCAAGTAGAATCATTAGAAATGAGAGTCTGAACAGAAGCTGATTTGTATTCCAACACAAAAAGAACATTTTCCTCAGAAAAATACATTTTTTTCCCTAGAGTGAGGAGTAAACCGTGAATTTCTAAGCTTTAATACATACTAGTCTTTCAAAGGCTAAGCTTTTATTTTGGGATTACATACACAAACATACCCATATTTTCAAATACTAGGGGACAGACATGCAGGGTAAGTTTGTACTCTGGTTCTGACTCAAGTTCCCAGATGGATAACTGGTTATTATTGCATTCTTAACCCATATTCCTGCCCAATCTAAAAAGATCCCTATACAGCAATGGTATTTGTTGCTTCTTCCCATCCATCTGCTTAATAAACTCTGAATGCTATAGTGTATGAGCTGCTATAGCGAAGGAATGCAGGGCCCCGAGACAGACACTGCTTAAGGTCAGGGTGGAAACTGGTTCATTGTTTGCATTTTAGTAACTCTAGGCCCAGCTGAAATCAAAGCTCTACCACATTTGCGTACTGTCAGAACTTGTATCGAGCTCCTGAGGACATTCACAAAGTAGCCAAGCCTGACAAAATGGGACTAAAATTAGGAGTAAATCCTCCATAAGATTAAGCTGAATCAGCAGGGTTGCCAGTCTTTCCTTACCCTTTGAACTGCATCCCGAAACCTGAGGGGGCCGCATAGCCCTGCACCTCAGAAGCAGAGTGCCAGCAGTAGGTCACAACCCGACGTATGTGCCAGTGGCTCTCCCGGGAGGTCCTGCCACGGGATGGGGCAGAGGTGGGCCTGCGGCCAGCCGGTGGGGCAGTGACAACACAGCGCCCCTCTGGGGCTCCTTTCACGGTCAGGTATTCAGTTGACCCCGTACCAGCTTGGCCTCTCTGCCTCTCATGAGACGGGGACCTGTAGCACCCCTCGCCTGAGCTGCGTGTGAGCTGATTGCAGCTCAAACCAGCACATTGGCCATCATTTTCTAGGGTGTGCAGCTGGGTTCTGTTCTGATGATGTGAGAGCTAAACTGTAAGCATTTTAATGTACTGATGTGTGTAGCTACTTGTGCATTTTTCCTGTTTTAAGCATAGAAAATACCACTATAAACCAGTACTAGTAGTATTTTAACATATAGCGTGTCTGAATGGAAATGGTTTCTAAATGTTCCTACGTGTTTTCCTTCACAGTCTTTATGAATGCAGCAATACCAATTGCAGCCGTACTTATAGTAAGTATGGACTTCCCTAAGTAGTGTAAATCACAACTGCATTTTCAAGTATAAATGATGTGGAAATGAGGAACGCAGAGGACAGGATGCAAACCTGCTACACGTGTGCAATTCCTCTGGGAGAGAATGGAAAATGCCCACTTGTCGTCTGTGACGAGAAGCAGCCAGGAGTATGCACCACTCCCCCAGACTGTTAAGAGTATCAATTAAGATTCTGTAAATGAAATGCTCATGAAATATGACATGTTTGTGTGTTTCCCTCTTTATGACAAAACACTGATGATGATGTCTGTCTCGTTGTAGACATTTGTGGTCCATGCTCATCTGACAACAAAGGCTGACTTCTCCCCATCCGTGGCATTTGCCTCCATCTCCCTGTTTCATATTCTTGTGTCTCCATTGTTCCTGCTCTCTAGTGTGGTTAGATCCACTGTCAAAGCATTAGTAAGGTAAGAACTGTAAAATTAATATCTTTGCTAATCTCTCTGACTTTTGAGAACCTGTCTATTGCCAATTTTACAATTTTAAGTTTGGAAATAGTGTGGTGATTATTCATCTGTTGTTGTTTCTTCCCAACTTTTTACCTTACCTGATTTCCTGGTTGTAGCATGTGAGCCAACTTTTTTGCTGATAAAATTGTCACAACCAATATTTTGGGGTCCACAGCTAGTACTTCTTTGTGTAGGATGCGTTGAGGCCATATTAGTACTGCACGCGACATACGTGTGACAACAAGAAAGAAAGTGAAAGCTTACTGAAGATTTAGTTTTGTAAATCACCCAAATGTTTCCCTCCATCAAGCACGTAGAAGGAATAAGGGTAGTTAGTTACAGAAGCGCATGTGTTTCAGTGTGTATCTCTTGGGCTGCGCTCAGCCTCCACCCCTCTGCCGGAGGTTGCCTGTTGGTGCAGATTTAGACTTAAATAAATAAAAAACCACCATAAAAATTACTGTTCAGGGTGTGAGTCAGTTAATGTCTAAATTTCTGTTTCATACTTGATGGATTTTTACTTTCTTATGAACATGTTAGTTTGAGTGGTCGGAAACTGAAATAACAACCAGTAGAACTCCTGTTTCACTGGGATTTTTACTTTGAATATCAACAGATTGGTGTCAAAACCTCTTAATGCTTGTCATATGTGGTGTAACTCTACCTGACTGATAGGAGAGGAAGAGAGAGTTTGGACTTCTTACTTTATTAGGACCATTTTGTGACCTCCAATATAGCTGTCTTAAGAGCTTGTCTAAACTATGGGCCAGACCCTGGACACCAGCCCTTGCTTAATTGCCTTTGTGTGGCTTTGGAGATGGAAAGGAGACTGCAGCAGGAGGCTGAGGTTGCCCTTGCTGTTTCAAAATTGCCTGACAGTGCAAAGTCACAGCTGTATCCTCTCTCCTAATAAGTGTGAAACCTGAGAGCATCAGCAGCTGGCATGAAATGTTTCGCAGCCACTGTGGTAGTCCCTGGAGCCATGGCAAATTGTCATGCGAAGATTGCAGCCAGCCAAGTATCTGGGGGCCTGCACTAGTAATTATTTTAGCTTGTCTAAGGATTTCTTTGTAAATGAATTGTGTGCCTGTTAATGCAGCAGGAACAATTCTAAAGCAATTAGTATCAACCAAGTATTAATTGCTGGTAGACAGGAGTTGTTCATGAGTTATTCTGTAGTTATCTTCTTGTTAGCAGACTGTTGCCCTGCCACTTGTAGCGCAGACAGGAATCCCTGGGTTCAAACTCTGTAACACAGTTGACATGATCCTTGTCTGTATCGCAGTAACCCAGGTAGTGTTCCACATTGCTGCTGGTGCTACTCAAGATTTATATTCTGAGTATCCCATCCTCCAGTGCCATAGTTTGGAAGCATCTGCCAGATATTTTCAACCTATGCAAATGCTTGCTTAAATAGTTTAGTAAATGTGAAAAAGCAGACAGTTATTAGAAAGGTGTGTTTGTGCCAATTGAGCACAACTGATGTTTACTTGCTGAAACTGTGTCCTGCTGTTACACCTTCCTGCTAATGAGTAATGATAAGATCAGGTAGAAGTGACTTAACTTGATGAAGCTTCAGCTTTCTTTTAGGCTGAGACATTCTAATTGATTTTAGCAAGTGTACAAGACAGCTTCTCCTGTAGTGAGAGAAAGGAACTAATTGAAGCAGAAGATGATGCAGCAGCAAAACCAGCACATAAAGGATACTAAGAGGGTGTTACTGGTTTTGCATCTCAGACACTTCACAACCCCTGCTCTGTTAATATTGGCTACAGTCTCTGATGATAGATGCTCTTAAGGATAATAACCTCCACAAATACACTTCTCAGTATCTTTATCATTACACATGTGCCCAACTGCAAAATATCCTCAAGGATTGCCATTGTGTTGTGGTTTAGCCCCAGCCAGCAACTAAGCACCACACAGCCGGTCACTCGCCTCCCCCAGTGGGATGGGGGAGAGAACTGGAGGAAGAAGATAAGAAAGCTTGTGGGTGGAGATAAGAACGGTTTAATAATTGAAAACAAATTAAGTAAAATAATGATAATAATAAAGGTAATGAAAATACCACTACTACTAATAATATGTAATGGGGGAAAAAGGGAAGAGGAGAAAAAAAATTATACAACTGCTCACCACTAGCCAACCGACACCCAACCAGTCCATGCCAACCCTCCCAGCTTATATACCAGCACACATTTGCACTGTCAGAACATCCATGTGATCCATTCCTATGGTAAAGAGATTTTAAGCCTGCAAATTTTCCAAGTTATGGGGACCAGGTTGTTTGCTTCTGAGAGGGGGAACTGTTGAAAGTCTTTAAGAAGGTAAGAAATTCCGTTAGCTCTTTGAAAAGTTTTTTTAATATGTAGCCATTGCAAATTAAAACTGAGCAGCCAGTTAAGGGATTTTTTAAATGTGAGGTCTTCAAGGACAAAGGGTACAGTTTGCAATTTTCCATCAGCAAAGGTCAAGTAGCAGCAGTGGCATTATGTATCTTAAAGGGTTTAATATGAAACCGCTTTTTCAGTCAGCTGTGCAAATAACTGTGTTTTAATCAATAAGTCTATTCTGTGGCTTAAAAATAAGCTCCCCTATGGAGATACTGGAATACTAGTGAAATTGCAATGTCAGTGAGAGCTCTGCAGGGAACATACATTTTTGTTCTTTAAGAGTGTAGAATGGTGTTGCATCTTGAAATACAAGTTGCTGCCTCTAACAAAAGATTTTCTCATAGCTATAATGTGTTTCCTCAGTAATTGCCACGGGAGCAGCAGTTTCAAAATTAAGCAGAGCACTGGGCAGAGGGCTTGCAAAGAAAAGTCCTGGCACTTAGAGTACAGCCACCTTGAAACACAGCCAGAGAGCAAACTATTATATGGCTTGATAATGACATGATCTTGTTTGGGTACATATGGTCCAAGAATTTGTTTGCTGTCTTCCCGCTCTAAACCCTGGAGCAGATACACAGGGACTTTTCTATCTGCTCTGTATATATTCAGAGCAATTATTCAAATGTCAGTGTAATTTTCCTATAGTGAATGTAGGTGCAGCTACATATCAACTCCACACAGGCAGCATCTAAACCATCATATGGTCCATTTAAAGGCATTTTAAATACCTGGTTCACTGAACAAAAAAAGGTAAAAGCATTCCTATCCCTGTTTTCCAGACCTTTGTGAAAATAGATATAAATATTTCTAGTGATGGGGCTTCTAATTTCCTCCTTTGATTTAATAGACCTTCTAATTAAGAAATTTTGGTCCAGCATTGAACCTGAATTAGTTATTATTCCTCTTATTACTCCTCTTATTACTCCAATCCAGAATAGTTGTTCTCCCACTTTCCAGTTGCCTGGATTGCAGTATCTGCTCTAGCTAAATTCACCCCACTGCGTATCTCAGCTGCATTAGCGAGTGGGCAGGGAGACAGAAAAACTAGAACCAGTTCTACTGTGGGGGGTCCCCAGGTGACTTCGATCTCTACTTGCAGGGCAAATAGATTTCTTCATCTCCTTCTGAAGAAATCCATGGTAATGGAATGCAAAAATAAATGCAGGGGGGAGTTGGGGGGGGAGTATTTTTTATTTTTTAAGATTTGCATAACAGATAACAGCATCACTGTGCTACAGTGGCATTGTTTGCCTGTTTCGACCCAATTAGCCTAAGGCTAAATACTGAAACCAGTTTTTTCAGCCCCTGTCCATAAATCTATTTTTAGGAACTTAAGGCCTTCTGGCACTTTATCTTTTTGGAGACTTAGAGTTAACTTATTTCCACCTAATTGTGCCCCTTTGATGCTGAGTTCATTATTCAATCCACTTCCTTTACCAATTTAATTTGCTGTCCCTGTGAGTAGATTAGACATAAATTTTATAAAGTCAGGTACAGAAATAAAATTGATGTCATGATCTGTTAAATGTCATAATAAAGGTACGTTATCTCTTAGCTAATTGAATCTTAAGCAGCTTGGGAAGATTGTATGCATTCTTTTTTGCTGTGGTTGGCAGGATTCTTTATTTTATATATCACATTGAACACTGTTCTGTTAAGGTATATTCCTTTATCAGGTTACCTCACACACTTTGTATTTCACCATAGCTGGTTGAATTTAGCTCATGGTATATGGATTTTATGAGACTCCTAATGTTTGTAAGACTGTTCAGTAGAACAGACTGTGTAACACTCCAGTAACATAAATGACATTAACTCTACTTCAGCATGTGGCTTCAAAACGAGCTTTTGTAGCTGGTCTCATCCCACCAAATGCCTAAAATCATCTTTTGTGTAATCTCTCTGTCGGTAGTAGAAAAGAGAAACATCTCCACAAAGCACGACAAGCTGTTAACAACAACAACAGGGCAGGTTTTGTCAACTTCCTTGCACTAACTTCTCATTGCACATTTTTATATGCCTGCAAATAAATTGAAAGAAAACAAACTATGCAGCTGGCAGTGGTTGAAATACTAAAAGGGATGCTCAGTATTAAATGCTGCAGTGAGCAAAAGTTTTGCATTCCAGGTTGAAGTGTAATTCCATTTTTTCCCTTTCAGTGTACAGAAACTGAGTGAATTCCTGTCAAGTGAAGAAATTGGAGAAGAGCATGATAAATCGTCAGAGCTAAGAAGTGCAGATAATCACAGCAAATACCAGGCAGTGGTGAGTAATGATGTTTAATTGCAGGTGAAGTGGCTGGAGTAATTTGTACCCAGAATAATTTTTTTACTTTTCCATTTCCTACTGAGTATTTCTTGCAATTGCCAAACCTCCTCTTAATACACTGAACTGTATAGGTCATAACATGGTTGCTTGTGTTTAGGACGTTTTGCTGGTACTGCCACCAATTATTGCGTATTTCTCCTTCTGGTTTTGCACAGCCACTCAAAGTTGTTAACCGCAAGAGGCCGGCCAGGGAGGACTGGAACAATTACAGCTCACACATGAGAAGACCCATTAACATCGCAGAAGCAGATGATTTTTGTGTAAAGGTGATATGAAGGTCACTCTAATAGCACTGTTACTATAGCTCACTAATAGTCACTTTTCTATCCTGATGACAGCTTCAGATTCAAGTGGAAGCATTTGATGTGAACTGTCAAGACACTTGTGCTCATATCAAAGATTAACTTCTGCTCTTCTTTTCCGTGGTTTCCATTTTAAGAATTGACTACTGACCTCTATATTGTGATTAGCTGTGTATATCCCTCTAGATTTCACTCAGTAATTTTCTCTATGTAGTGTTTAAGTCATCAGCCCTGTTCTCATAACAGAAATTTCCAACTTAGAACACAGAAGAGACCAGGTTGGAAGGGATCTTGAAAGATCATCTAATCCAGCCTTTTATGTATGCCAGATTGTCTTGCATTTCCAGTGCCTGTACAGGAAAATGGCATGAAAAAAATGGAAAAGAATTTCTTTTAGACATTCCTAAAACAGTCTTGTCATGGGTCTTCCCTTCCTCTTTTGGAATACCTAGTAGCCTTCCAAGATCAAGTTAAAAAATAACCTCCAATGAACCTAACTTTTTTAAAGAAAAGATTTAAGTTATCCATGCCACTTGGAAGACTGATGCTCTTAATTTGCTATAGAAATGGCCAGAAGTAATAAAAAGCCTGATGGTTGTTGTAGTGATGATGCTGTTTATTTGGGAAGTCTGCTGTTACTTTTGCATTTCTGGCACAAGAGAATGAATAATTCAGTTTCATAAGACTAAGTAGGCCAACTGGTAGTGCTTTCAGGTTGTTTCAGAGGCTGTCATCTGACATGCCACTTTGGTGCAGGATCCTTCTTCAGTAGACCTCAAGGAAAATGAGGTTTGGGTTGGGGGGTATTGGATCAAAAGACAGCTTAGAGTGGCAACAAAGGAGGTTGTCACCAAGGAGAGGCAAGAGTAAGGACAGTATTTAAAAGGTCTTGAATAGAAATCCCTGAGCAGCTCTCATCTCTGGCTCCATCTGCTGACATCATGGTCACCGGGACCCCTGGGTCCGGGAATTTCTGCAGTTCCCAAGTACCATCCGTCTGCAGCTCATTGCCCAGGAAGGGGCATTTTCTGAGAGAGAATCCTCTGGCTGCCTTTGGTAGTCTAGAGGGAGGAACACCACCCTTTCTTTTGCTCATTTTTTCAGGTTGTTTCCCCACGATAAGAATATCCCTTTTTTTTTTTCCAGGGTAGGATAAGTGTGTCCCATTCCACTCTTCTAAGATCAAAAAATGTCGTACCTTGTGGTGCCGAAAGGCTTTGCAGGCTTAAGTTGCTGTGAAAAAAGAAGGTCCTGTATGAATACAGGCCTTTTAAAATTGTCTCCTATTTTTGTTTTTCACAGTATCCGTGAGAATCTTCTTCATTTAAAGTCTTGAACAGGCTTTGTTTCTTGGTTTTAGTGTTTTTCAGTGAAAAGATCTCTGTATCTAACAAAGCTTAGGTTATCTGAGACTCATATCAGAAATACAAAGGAAAGTACTGTAATAAGCAGCAACATCTAATGTCTGTGGAAAGTCCTGTAAACCTGCTTGGAATTTGGACCATGTAGTTGCTGTATATGCTGCAGCGTGTCCAGAGTGGCATTCAGTGCTGTGCTCTGCAGAGAGCAAACCGTGACCCTGTACATAATTTAATCACATTGGAATCATTTCACTTATTTTATGTGCCCACCTTACAAATAACAGAACAAAATATCCCTAAACAGCAACTTCTTTTTCCTGAGGAATTTTCCGTATTTTCCTAATTGTTGTGCTTGTTTGAGTTCAGAGATTCTTGCACATCAGAATACAGGCCCTTACAAACAGTCACTTGAAGATCTGTTCCCTGCACTGGGCAAAGGCTGACTCTGCTCCTATGCTCAGTGTAATGAAAACAGAAGTGTCTCTGATGCTGAAAATAGAAGTCAGCTCTAAAGCTGGTTTTCTATTTCTTGTTTCTCTCCATCTTGGCATAGATCACAAATGGATTTTTCACTTGGACACCTGAAGGTCCTCCAGCATTGTCCAGCATAGATATCCGAATCCCTCAAGGTACAAAATGACATCAGATATACAGAATAACATGTTTTTTCCTGAGCAATTGGAAAATCAGAAGCTTATATATGCCTTCTTCTCTCACAGGTCAGCTAACAATGATTGTAGGACAGGTTGGCTGCGGGAAGTCATCTCTCTTGCTAGCCATACTTGGTGAGATGCAGAAGATCTCTGGCAACGTATTCTGGAGCAGGTAGTGCTATTTAGAAATTCAAGCTTGTGTTGAGTATTAATGCAGAAAAAAAGCCAAAATCTATTCTGGGAACTTTTTTGTGGAGTCAGAGATTTTGTAGGTGTACATTCAAGATAAAAACCTTAGCCTAACAGCGAGGGAGCACATCAGAAAGAACACCCCCAGCCAGGGTCAAGACAGCTATTTATTCCATTACCAGGAATAGATTACCATACTAGGGCATTCTGCACTCCAACAACATCACCTGGATGAAATCGTATTTAGTCTGGAATCAGAATTAATTCGCTGTTGTGCTGCTACAGAATGGCATTTGCACTTTCAGATGTGAGCTTGTGTCCTTGACTGGAACTATGAAGAGGTACTGTCTCACTAGGAGTGGTCCCTGGCTATGCTTTTAGATGTGTGCTCCATCCCAGCACTGGTCTAGTGACTGAGAAATGGAAGAGATTCTTATAAGTGGCCATAACGTCAGGTATCCCCGAGGTGCACTCTGCCTGAGTTGACAGGAAGGAGACGGTCATGTCCTTCCCTCCTTTCCCAAGGGGACACAGCAGCTGCGCTCTGACAGCCAGATCCTGACTAGACTTGTGTCTAACTTTTGTAGTGGCCATCATGGAAGGAAAAAATGCTGCTGAACTCCAGCAGCTGGAGTGTAGGGCTTGGTGTCTTGGCCCTCAAACTAAGTGAGAGATGGTATAATACACTGCAACTCTGGTATGTGGTTTCAGGTAAATAACTGCTGTCTCTGGTGCATTCTCCGATCAACGTGTGTGAACATTTTTGGCTTGTTTATTTTACAGTACTAGACTTCCTAGCCATACAGACTACACTTTGCCTTTTGGGATATGATTATTTGTAGGTAAACCTTTACAAATTGCAAAACCACCTAGTGAAACAATTCCTTTTATTTCCAACTGATTGGGAATGAAGGAACAACAGCGCAACTGTAAGTCAAATCCATGCACTCTGATGGACAGAGGGTCATTGTTACCCCATGGCTTCTTCATTGGTTTTATGAAACAATTCAAACAGATTCCTTAAGTGTTTGTAGAGGGACACTATGTATATCCAGCCCTCGTGCATAAGCCAGTCACGCTACTCGGAATTGCACATGCTTTAATGGTAACAGTACAAGGGAGGAAGGTTTCCTGTTTTATAGGTGTAGAAAATGAAACGTAGGAAGGGTGACCCTTTCGTCTGCTGAGGGAGATAAGCAGAAGCCAAAGTTGCACAATGTGGTGGTCTATCCATTAAAATATACTTCCTAAGCAGAAACTCAGTGTATGGTGAGGAACCGTACAGAATCCCTGCAGCTTTATTAGGTGAGCTAATTCCATTTCAGTAAGGCTGTAATTTTTTACAGATGACATAACACGATTAAGAAGTGCAATTTGAATGTCTGATGCTAAACTAAAACAGATGACATGATGGTTCTGGTCAGACTGTGGTTTTAAATAGCACTTGTTTAGAAGTATGTGCTTCACAACAGTGTAAATGTCAGATCTGGATTTCATGTCTTCTCTATGTGCCAGAGTATCACAAGGTTAGATTCAGTTGTTATCACATTTGCTTTGCTATCTGTCAGATATGTATAAAGGGGCTTGTGGCTGAAACAATCTTAGCACTGTAAATTCTGGCTGCACTAGAACAGATTATGTTTTCTCTCATCTTTCAGAGCTGCTACCATGCGCACTGGTTTATTCAGAATGATGGATGCAGCCAGCGTAGGCTGCGCACCTGCGTTGCAAAGCTATCAGATCAAAGCTCCCTTAATTTGATAAGAAAATACTAATGCCTGACCAGGTACACGCAGCATGTAGGTTCAAGGAGAGTAATCTTATCAAGTAATCACCAGAGCTCGTAGCCTTAGCGTAGGCAATAAAACGTGTCACCAAAATCAGCAAGATCCTTGTTGCAGCCCTTTCTTTGGGATGAGATGAATGCTGGGCTTCAGTCATTCATGTTACAGAAGTCTTGAGTTATTTCATTCCAAATTTCCTCCCCTTCCTTTCCTTCAAGGTCACAGCCATGAAGACGAAGGTTACATCCTGCTGACATGTCACTCAATGCTCAGGAAATCTGGATTCTATTCCTGGCCCTTCCCTTGGTCTAATGGATAACCTTGCACAAGTGATTCCCCTCCTCTATGCCTTCAGGGTCTATTGATAATACAGGATTAACTGCATATATTTTTTATTTTCCTTCTATAAAAATTATTCATTTCAAAAACTTAAAACCAAATGTAATCTATTCTTGGGCTAGGAATTAGTTAATCAAAGTGACCACTGGCTCATTTGTGATTTTATTTTGTTTTTTCTACTACAGTATGTGCCTGGAAGATCCAGCTCACATTACTGCCCCTTGTCCAAATCAGGCTAAGAGCATCTCAGCATAAATATTTTATAATATGGTTAGAGATTAACAAAAATAGAGAAATCATTATTTACATTCTGAACAGATGGTAAATAGTATTGATTTGACTGGTTATTGAGTAAATAATTATTGTATGTGACATGCTGATTTCTTCCAGGCAATATCTCCCTTTAAATAGTTCCGGTTCTAGGCCAGGGAGCAGTTTTGTACTATGTGTTTTTGGAGTAAATGATTTCAGAAATTTGACCTAAATGTAAATAGATTGGGCAAACAAAATTATGTCATTTGCTTCCAAACAGGACATATACTCTCCCATGTGAATCTAGAGTCCTTATATTGTAAAGGAAGTGCTAGATGCGTTAAGGTTGCTAACAATAGATTTTATTCTACTTGATGTGGAGTTGAATGTTTTCAACAAATGACAATATTTTTAAAGTTATTTTGATGCCTAAAAAGTACATTGATTTTTATAAATATGTTTCTACTGGAGTTTTCAGAAACTTTCAGGTACTCTATGTTATTTAAATGGGAAATAGAGATTACAGGCTTGTAAAATCTCAGTAGCACGTATTTGCATCTTTAGACATCCATATGCCTTGAAAAATTAGATCTACACCTCATCATCAAACATATATTACTTTGACATTTCAACACTGGTGGAAGATAAATGCATCCTTAATTGCCAGAAGTATGTAGGAAAAAGGCGAAAGGAGGGAGAAAGCAAAGTCATAGTGGGAAAAAGTGAGTGGGAACTGCTGAGCCAAAACTCCAAGTGGAGAACTAAGTTTTCCAGTTACAGAAGAGAAACACAGGTCAGGGTATTGATCTACCAATACTTGCATATGAAAATTATGACACTTCTGGCTGCATAGCAAAACATGGTTAACCTGGGAGTCAGGACAGTACTGTGC